GCTTCATTTAGGGCTTTAACATTGCAGAAAGGGCTAGACAGAAAGGGAAATAACTCGCTGTTCAGGGACTGAACTATTTAGTCTAAGACAGACTAATGATCTACCAAATGACCCAAATTCCACGACCACGTTAATGGATGGCCTGGTATCCCCCCAAAACTTTCACATCCAAAAGCTTCCGCACGGTACACGGTAACCTGTCGGCGACTCCATTTCCTGTCATCAGCTTTTACTGTCTGTTACATAATGTACATAATTCTCAGTCGTGCCAGGAACAATATACCACTCAAAAGAGGTTCGAGACACCCGATGTATTCTTATGACGTAGTTCATCTGTCATGACACTTGCCAGTTAATCTTTCCATAACATTATACATGACAAATTAGTCATAGGAAAAATCGTGTTTTCTTTGACTTCTTGTGAAAATTTTATCATGAAAATAAACAGTATTTACACAAACATGGCGTCAGAGGACGCGTATTTGCTGGTCCGACACGTAATATAACGGGATAGTCCTTATAACGGGTTATTATGTACGCGTAACAAACAAACTCATCAACTGATTGGGATTGCTTGTTACAGACATACAGATGCATCGATATTGCCTGTCACCTGTACAGCTCACCTGTTGAGTTACATCATGCAGACAGGTAAGGGTGAAGGCATTGTCCTCCGACTGGTCACAGGTGGGTGTGGGGGTGGGTGTGGGTGTGTGTGTGTGTGTGTGTGTGTGTGTGGGTGGGTGTGGTGAGAGGGTGTGTGTGTGTGTGTGTGTGTGTGTGTGTGTGTGTGTGTGTGTGTGTGTGGGTGTGTGTGGGAGTGTGTGTGTGTAGGGTGGGTGTGGGTGGGAGTGAGTGGGTGGGTGTGGGTGGGTGTGGGTGGGTGTGGGTGGGAGTGTGTGTGGGTGAGGGTGGGTGTGGGTGTGGGTGTGGGTGTGGGTGGTTGGGTGTGGGTGAAGCACAGAGGGGCGTTAGAGGCTGGGTAAAGGGTAAAGATGCTACTTCAGTATTGGCATGTTTATACCGGTACAGTGGATAAAGAACAGCGCGGTTCCAGAGGTGCAGGTAAATTACTTTCGGAAGATTGGTTCGAAGTTACGTAAGAGGCGGTGTCCATCGATTAGAGTGACCTTCAGTTGACACAGAAGCCGGCACACACGCGTTCTATTAGCGCTGTATTTTCACCTACGTTATTATCAACATCTGGTTTACAATCTGGTTGGAGGTTGTTCAAGTAGGGGTATATGTGTGAGAGAGGCGAGTATCGTCGCCCACCGACTGACCACAGTAGGCTACAGATGACCACCGAGGACACCTGTCCCATTTCTAACGCTGACGAAAAGACGACATACAGGTGAGTTTACCATCCTCTTCTGTATTAGTTTTAGGGTAAAGGTGACAAACACGCGTGTGAAATATGAGTACAACTAAATATAATTGGAAGGCTAGTATTCACTGTTGGTTACAAGGAGAACAGAGGTGTCAGTGTCACGCCCACTTTATGGAACCCCAGAAGGGACATTTCGCTGTGTCACTTTGCCGAACATTGAATGATATTTCTTATTTTACAAAAGGGCGACATGCGACAAATCGTCTAAATGTCCCATTGTAGCGCTTTGGTGCATTTTGACATTTTCACTAGTTTTTGTATGGGCAACTACGCGACAAGGCGAAGATGTCCTATTTAGGGTTCCATACCTGTTGTGTTGTTCAATGTGTGACATTCTGAATGGGTTCAATTGTTGGACCCTCGAAAAGAAAGCTTTGTGAAAGTAAGACTTTCCCCAGCTTTCTTCGCGAGGGTATATGCCATAAATCTGATTTATTGACAGTGAATGTATAACTATGTCGTTCATAGGAAACCCTGTTTGAAAACAGCTGCTTTTAGATTCACTCTGAACGATATTTCCATCATTTCGCTGCGTGCTAAATCGATGTGACAGGGAGTCCAGTCTCTATTTGCCTTAAAGTTCCTTTGGTGATGTTCACTAGCGCGTGTGATGCAATTCGGGACAAATCTGGAAGTTTTATGTGATTAACCATGTAATCATATCAGGTCATGCCATAAAACGGTTGCTATGTTACATTGATACTAACGCTTGCAGCAATTCCAAGACAAATTGAGCAGCGCGACAAGCACGGTGTTAAGGGGGCACGTAACTCTGACCAACATTCAGTCAAAGCAAGCTGGACTCAGTCGAGAAAACAAGACTATATCTGTAGGAATGGTTAGGAGTGTTGCAGTTGATTATAACAAGATAATCCTTTACGTTTCACGCATAACGCTAATTTCAACGTCTAGATCTAGCTGACAAAGCGTAACAGGGGCTGAAATTTATGGAACATACCATCTCTAGAAATGGGACTAACAGCACAACCCCGTTCCATTACCAGTTCTAATCTTGACCTCAAGTGTGAGGGTATTTTTTGTTTCAAACATCAAATGAGTTTGATGATCCTCAACTATTTCGCATAACTATAATTAATCTGCCATCGTTTGTATTCCAATATGCAGCCTCCAGTGTCTTTTAACTTTTTTAGCAGTATATATGACAAACTGCGGCATGCAAATCGAGTCTGAATCAGACAAACCTGTGATTGGAAGTACATACAATGACCCCTGCGGTCTAGGTAGGCTGACAGACCTTACACCCAATCCATTGAGTCGCCTGTTTTAACAGGCCCAAGTTTCTACGGTACAACTATAAATATGGTCGAATTGCATATAACGAACTCGGGTTATACCGAATTAAAATGGAAGTATGTTTTGGAATTAACTAAAACATGACAAACATTATTATAAACGTTACAGACTGACAACAGTCGCCAAAAGACTCTGAACTTAAAGTACAATAATCAGCTATGGTAACCGTTTTTTGTTTAGCCGCCATGACAGAAAGGCACACTCTCTTTTGTCCGGTAGTTTATTAGCCTGGGTTTCTTAGGAATGATAATACTCCTTAACCTACATACACGATTCATACTACCTGTCACGTAGATATCAGGAATATACCCAAATCGGTGTGGTGTTTATGTTGCCCGTGTTACATGTCGATTTCTAAATTGTTATATTAAGGCAACCCAGAAGTCTATACTGATAAGAGTTCATTCTGTAGCCAACAAACAACCAAGAAATGATCTACAATTCGTAATTGTATCATAAAATAATTAGATTAAAAATTAATGCAAATTACTTTGAAGTAGTTACAATGTCAGTACACAATGGAGTGGAAGTACGAAATCAACGACAGGAGTGAGTGAGTGAGTTTAGTTTTACGCCGCACTCAGCAATATTCCAGCTATATGGCGGCGGTCTGTAAATAATCCAGTCTGGACCAGACAATCCAGTGATCAACAGCATGAACACCGATCTGCGCAATTGGGAACCGATGACATGTGTCAACCAAGTCAGCGAGCCTGACCACCCGATCCCGTTAGTTGCCTCTTACGACAAGCATGAGTTACTGAAGAACAATATTCTAACCCGGACCTTCACGGATTTCAACGACATGACAGTTACAATAGCAGTTGATACCCTGAGTGAGACACCTTCACAAAGATGGCCCTGATGTACTGTGAGCTGATCGAAGCATGTGCTTGCCCCGTATATAGGTTTAAAACATTTCCATGCTATGCTGTTTTAGAAGCTTTGAGATTATTTTTGACTCCCGTGAAGATCCGGGTTAGAACTGGTCTTCAGTAACCCATGCTTGTCGTATAAGATCCGACTAACGGTCAGGCTCGCTGATTTGGTTGACACATCCCAACTGCGTAGATCGATGCTCATGATGTTGATCATTGGAATGTCTTGTCCAGACCCGATTATTTACAGACCGCCTCCATATAGCTGGTATATTGCTGATTGTGGCGTTAAACTATGCCTAGTGGTTAAAGCGTTTGCTCCTCACGCCGAAGACCCGGGTTCGACTCTCCACATGGGTACAATGTGTGAAGCCCATTTCTGGTGTCACCCGCCGTGATATTGCTGGAATATTGCTAAAAGTGTCGTAAAACATGAACACAAGCGCGATAATGGGGAGAGTGTATAGTGATATATCAAATAAGTGTACAGACAAAACGGATCGTCTAACAATCCGGATTACATTCACATCGCGACGCTAACAAGCAAGAACAAATGGTTTAAGTCTTCAAAGGTAACTGGATTGAAGTGTTCATTAAGAAGCACCCAAGCCCTGTTGACCTAGGTCAGTATAGGGTAAACACTTCCACGAACTTCACACAGGAACCGGCTATCAGCTTATTGTTTAAAGGATAAACGAAGTCCATTTGTGTCGCTTTGATAAGAAAGAATTCCGACTGAATCATTTAATACTACACGTGTCAGGTTGTGTACACCACACGGGTATGTGAGTGAGTGAGTGTGGTTTTATGCCGCTTTTAGCAATATTCCAGCAATATCACGGCGGGGGGACACCAGAAATGGGCTTCACGCATATTATACCCATGTTGGGAATTGAACGCCTTCGGCGTGATGAGCGAACGCTTTATCCACTTGGCTACCACACCACCGTACACGGGTATATGGAATAATTCCATCGCACTGATCATGATGATGATTTAATGAAGAAATTCATCCAGACTGACGAAGGCTGAGCCCAGAACGGTGGCCAGGTAAAGTCCTCGAGGAATGTCTTTTGTGTAGTGACAACCCAGCTCTTTTGTAAACAGCTTATCCGATTGGTAAGAGTCACCGTAAACGCACTGTCCCTTAACTTACTTATTTGTCAATTTGAAAAAAAAAGTGCTTTGCACCTGTGGCGTTGATGAAAGTTGTGCTGTTGATTGACACTTGGGGTTTTGGAGCGGGTAAAATCCTGTAAGAAATGTCCATTAGACGCTTGAGACCAAAATAGCCTTGATTGAGTGGAGCCGTCAGCTGTAGGGAGCTCAGTGATGGAGGTAATCTTCCATTACGGTGTCACCGACATGGCATGATAAACAGCGCTGTCTAGAGCTGTCGTGAGGCTGTGTGACAGTCGGTGACGAGAAAGTAGCCACCTGAGTTTATAGACGCTGGGAGTATGCATCACTGCATCATGCGTATCAATGTATCGGTGATGCTGGCGTGTTGTATGTAGGGCACGTGTGTTTATGTGTGGCACAGATGCTGGTTTAGTGATACTGGACAGATAGAGTGTAGGAGAAAACATCTTAACAGATGGTGGAGACAGTGTTGTGAGTCAGAGTCTGGCGTACCATCACAACATGGAGACCTCGAGCGGACATGTGCATCTTCAGGGAGGGACATCGAAGGTAGGTGGTTCTGTGGTTGTACATGGGGAACTCAGATGGGTGCCGGGCACTTGGATAGATCGTATTAGTTGGGGAGGAACGAGTGAGGTTATCTATCAAGTACAGTCCGGTAGATCAAGTACAGTCCGGTAGATCAAGTACAGTCCGGTAGATCAAGTACAGTCCGATAGATCAAGTACAGTCCGGTAGATCAAGTACAGTCCTGTAGATCAAGTACAGTCCTGTAGACCAAGTACAGTCCGGTAGACCAAGTACAGTCCGGTAGATCAAGTACAGTCCGGTAGACCATGTACAGTCCGGTAGACCAAGTACAGTCCTGTAGATCAAGTACAGTCCGGTAGACCAAGTACAGTCCGGTAGATCAAGTAGACAGTACAGTCCTGTAGATCAAGTACAGTCCGGTAGACCAAGTACAGTCCGGTAGATCAAGTACAGTCCTGTAGATCAAGTACAGTCCTGTAGATCCAAGTACAGTCCTGTAGACCAAGTACAGTCCTGTAGACCAAGTACAGTCCTGTAGATCAAGTACAGTCCTGTAGATCAAGTACAGTCCGGTAGATCAAGTACAGTCCGGTAGATCAAGTACAGTCCTGTAGATCAAGTACAGTCCGGTAGATCAAGTACAGTCCGGTAGATCAAGTACAGTCCGGTAGATCAAGTACAGTCCGGTAGATCAAGTACAGTACAGTCCGGTAGATCAAGTACAGTACAGGTAGACCAAGTACAGTCCGGTAGATCAAGTACAGTCCGGTAGACCAAGTACAGTCCTGTAGATCAAGTACAGATCAAGTACAGTCCTGTAGATCAAGTACAGTCCGGTAGACCAAGTACAGTCCGGTAGACCAAGTACAGTCCTGTAGATCAAGTACAGTCCGGTGTCAAGATCAAGTACAGTCCGGTAGATCAAGTACAGTACAGTCCGGTAGATCAAGTACAGTCAGTGTAGATCAAGTACAGTCCGGTAGTAGAGTCCGGTAGATCAAGTACAGTCCTGTAGATCAAGTACAGTCCTGTAGATCAAGTACAGTCCTGTAGATCAAGTACAGTCCGTGTAGATCAAGTACAGTCCGGTAGATCCAAGTACAGTCCTGTAGATCAAGTACAGTCCTGTAGATCAAGTACAGTCCTGTAGATCAAGTACAGTCCGGTAGATCAAGTACAGTCCGGTAGATCAAGTACAGTCCTGTAGATCTGTAGATCAAGTACAGTCCAGTGTAGATCAAGTACAGTCCGGTAGATCAAGTACAGTCCGGTAGATCAAGTACAGTCCAGTCCAGGTAGATCAAGTACAGTACAGTCCAAGTACAACAGTCTGTAGATCAAGTACAGTCCGGTAGATCAAGTACAGTACAGTCCTGTAGATCAAGTACAGTCCGGTAGATCAAGTACAGTCCGGTAGATCAAGTACAGTCCTGTAGATCAAGTACAGTCCTGTAGATCAAGTACAGTCCGGTAGATCAAGTACAGTCCTGTAGATCAAGTACAGTCCGGTAGATCAAGTACAGTCCGGTAGATCAAGTACAGTCCTGTAGATCAAGTACAGTCCTGTAGATCAAGTACAGTCCGGTAGATCAAGTACAGTCCGGTAGATCAAGTACAGTCCTGTAGATCAAGTACAGTCCGGTAGATCAAGCACAGTCCAGTCCGGTAGATCAAGTACAGTCCTGGTAGATCAAGTACAGTCTGGTAGATCAAGTACAGTCCTGTAGATCAAGTACTGTCCTGTAGATCAAGTACAGTCCGGTAGACCAAGTACAGTCCGGTAGATCAAGTACAGTCCTGTAGATCAAGTACAGTCCTGTAGACCAAGTACAGTCCGGTGGATCAAGTACAGTCCGGTAGATCAAGTACAGTTCGGGTCAACCATCACCCCAGATGGACTCGGATAGATCTAATACTCGATTAGGTGTGGACTGGAGCCATTATTCGAGTAGGAGACGGATAGATACTAGTATATTACTTGAGTCGGATTGTGGTGGAGCCATTGCTTGAGTAGGTGCAGGGGGGTCATTACTCGAGTAGGAGATATATTACTTGAGTAGGATTGTGGTGTATCCATTACTTGAGTAGAAGACGGATAGATACTAGTATATTACTTGAGTAGGATTATGGTGGAGCCATTGCTTGAGTAGGTGTAGGGGGTCATTATTCGAGTAGGAGACGGATAGATACTAGTATATTACTTGAGTAGGATTGTGGTGGAGCCATTGCTTGAGTAGGTGTAGGTGTAGGGGGGAGCCATACATCGAGTAGGTGTGGACTCGAACCATTACTCGAGACGGATACATAGATTACTCGAGTGGGAGTAGTCCGATGGATCCATTTCTGGAGCAGGTATGGAGTGGAGCCATTCATGGAGCAGGAGTCGAATGTATTCATTACTCGAGTAGTTGTCGGTTGGAGCTATTACTCGAATAGGTGTGGGGCTGTGCAATTCCTAAAGTGTGATGGATCTATTTCTCGAGCAGGTATAGAGTGGAGCTATTCATAGAGTAGGAGTCGAATGTATCCATTACTCGAGTGGGTGTCGGTTGGAGCCATTACTCGAACTGGAGTCGAATAAAATTACTATCCATTTACTCAAGTAGAAATCGCTTGCAACTATTAACTGAGAAGAAGTCTGGTTAGATTCAAGATATTGAAATGGAGTTGGAGTCGGATAGAGCCATTTCTTCAGTTTGAGTCAGCTGAGAAACATTAATCGAGTTTGGGGTGGGTGGATTAAGTAAATCAACAGAGGTCCTGTTAGTTCATTACTCAAGAGTACAAATAGGGCACAACCAGTTATTGCTCGAGTATCAGTGAGTGAAGCCTTTAATCGAGTAGGGGGTCGGTGGGGTAGCCTAGTGGTCAAAGCGTTGGCTCGTCACGCCGAAGACCCGGGTTCGAATCCCCACATGGGTACAATGTGTGAAGCCCATTTCTGGTGTCCCCCGCCGTGATGTTGCTGGAATATTGCTAAAAGCGGCGTAAAAAGAAACTCAGTACTCGAGTAGGAGTTGGCTAGGTCTACTGAAAGAAAAGTAGTCGGGTCTTGTTATACATGAAGCACGAGCACTCTGCTCGGAATAAAGTCAGGACGATTATTTCTTTCCTCCAAGCTACACGTAATTTTTAGAGTATCATATTAATGTGAAACGAAGGTTGTGTTTCTGTTAAGGTGCATATAGATAAACATGTACCCCAGATTGAAATTACGGGAAAGACTCCGTGCCAATCTCGACAACACGTGTAGTTTATTGCCGCGAGATAAAACACTTCATGCCTCACTGTCCAGAGTAATCATGTACTCTTGAACACTTGTTTACCTCCGCGCACTCAAGTAATGTCATATCTACCCGGTCCGCCCTTACTTTTACAACATTTAATATATAGCGAGCTGTGGGAGAACAATCTCCTTACAGTTCTGCAGACGTGTGGTCAGTGTGCTGTTTTGTCATGTTCGCACTCAGAGCGCCTTTCATTCTGGTGTTGAACAACCCCCGCCGAGCAACGGTAATGACTTTCTTGGTTCGCTGGGCAAGAGTCATGTTTTGCTAAATAAGATTCACGCGGCATGAGGGAGCCAAAGATTCATGTGACCTCGTAATTTGCAAAATCAGCTTTTATTGTCATATTTTCAGATATACATATAACATTTATGAATCGTTCACCCGTTGAGATTCAGGTTAATTTGGTTAATACCTGTAGTGTTGCGCCCCGTTTAAGTTATTTCAGTGCTTAGATGAACGTAAGTAAGGCTCGTACATTAACGTTGACTTGGAATTGGGCCCAGGTTGTACTTGTTGGGTGGTAGTCGGCGATGTCGTACACAAACGGGGCGGATGGTTACTCATTATATCAACCAAGTGGATCGGGTGGTCAACTCGGTGACATGGTTGATTGTCTGTCATATTATATCAACCAGGTGGATCGGGTGGTCAACTCGGTGACATGGTTGATTGTCTGTCATATTATATCAACCAGGTGGATCGGATGGTCAACTCGGTGACATGGTTGATTGTCTGTCATATATATATCAACCAGGTGGATCGGGTGGTCAACTCGGTGACATGCTTGATTGTCTGTCATATTATATCAACCAGGTGGATCGGGTGGTCAACTCGGTGACATGGTTGATTGTCTGTCATATTATATCAACCAGGTGGATCGGGTGGTCAACTCGGTGACATGGTTGATTGTCTGTCATATTATATCAACCAGGTGGATCGGGTGGTCAACTCGGTGACATGGTTGATTGTCTGTCATATTATATCAACCAGGTGGATCGGGTGGTCAACTCGGTGACATGGTTGATTGTCTGTCATATTATATCAACCAAGTGGATCGGGTGGTCAACTCGGTGACATGGTTGATTGTCTGTCATATTATATCAACCTGGTGGATCGGGTGGTCAACTGGGTGACATGGTTGATTGTCTCTCATATTATATCAACCAAGTGGATCGGGTGGTCAACTGGGTGACATGGTTGATTGTCTGTCATATTATTCAGCTAGTCTGGATTGTTGCTAAGTCATCAAACTAACAGCAACTATTGGTCATTTCTAAAACATTTTCTAAATCCTGTATGCCCTGTCTGTACAAATCTGAACCCGTAAAGGTCCGGGCTAGAATTGATCTTCAGTAACCCATGCTTGTCGCAAGAGGTGACTAACGGGATCGGGTGGTCAGACTTGCTGACTGGGTTGACACTTGTCATCGTATCCCAATTGCGTAGATCGATGTTCATGCTGTTGATCCCTGGATTGTCTGGTCCAGACTCGATCATTTGCAGACCGCCGCCATATAGCTGGAATATTGCTGAGTGCGGCGTAAAACTAAACTCACCCACTCACTGTACGCATCTGAGTCAGCGGATGTAAAACAAATTGTATTTGTACATGGCGTCTTCAGTCAAACAGTGGGTGGGCAGGGGAAACAAGCGACTCATCTCTAAGCGCTATAGGCTTGTAAATGTTACTTGTCATAGCCGTGGCCGGAACTAAATAATGGGCTGATGTTCTGGCAGCGGAGTAATCCAGTGGCACGTGATCTACTAACTCTGTTATCACATAGCTGCCTGGTACACATCAGTTCGTATCTGCAACACAGCTCAAGGACACTCGAGTCGCGTGGATGTTGGAGATAAGAGTACTCCGTTATTTACCTGTCAGTGGCCGGACTTAGAGAGGTCTTGGTTGTGTGTCCTATGCCATATACCATTGCTGTATACCCAAGATAACAGGAGGGATACTATCAAGCACTAGCAAGTGATGGGAGGTTTTGGTTATTCCAGATGTATTAACAGACGCCAAGCTACACAATTAGTCAGTGGTCATTACAAACATGTTTCTACAGACTCACGTCAATATTTGTCGCACCAACACAGATCAAATACGGTAACTGTCGAGTCAATCTGTTCCGTTAGTGAGTGAGTTGGGCTTACACCTCTGTCATTGGGATTTCAGTATATAACGACATGATAAAATATAGCTTGGAAGGAAAACCAAGAAAGATTCAGGCCACACTACAGAGGGAAAAAGACTGTCGTAGTTGTTCGCCGCTTAACTGAATCCCACGAACACTGGAATGACTCAGGAAACAACGAAAATTATATTCGAAACACAATCTACGGATCCTGGAGCGGCAAGCGGAGACAACACTGCGCAGCGATTAGGTCATCTGTAGATGAATGTGTCAAGAATTATGGCAATGTTTCCTGATGTTCTTGTCCAATCTTGCCTGTTCAGACGAACTGTGCTCCGTACCTTTTCCAAGATATAAACAACATTTCTTGCGTTGAAATGCCTGGCAGAAGACATCATACACTTGTAAATTGGTTGTAAGAAAAAGATTACATTATCACAATGTTGTTATTAGGTTGTTAGTCGGCAGTCGCCGTAACACTGTAATCTTAAGGTTCAAAACACAATTATTACACCGGGGCGGTGGGGTAGCCCATTGGTTAAAGCGTTTGCTCGTCATGCCGAAGACCCGGGTTCGATTCCCCACATGGGTACAATGTGTGAATTCCATTTCTGGTGTCCCCCGCCATAATATTGCTGGAATATTGCTAAAGCGGCGCAAGACAACACTCACTCACTCACTCAATTATCATACCCGTGTGGAATACGCCACCATCGAATAACGGTTCCTTGTTTTGTTTTTTCATGTGTAGCCACCATCTAACGAGCGTGTATACTTTCTTTCGCCCGTCAGTTTAGTAAAGTGTCGTACTATACTCAGTGAGTATGTGTTATGCCACTTACATCTATATTCTAATCGGCAGATGACGCCAGAAAGAGGCTCTGTTTAATACAGTAATGAAGTATGATATGAACCCAGGTATACAGTTAAAACAAATATGGTTTGAAGACTGTGTGGAGCGGCATCTCAAATGTGTCACACATATCACGATCGATTGACAGCACCTGTGATGTAATTTGCTAGAGGCTTATTGAGGATATCAGATGACTGGAACATTGTCTTCAGTTTATATGTTTGATCATCGTCAGAACTGTCAGCTGACTGAGGAATAGAACATATACACATATACATTGTACCCATTCGTGGAATCGAACCCTGTCGTTCAGTTTCAGCAATCTTACTCTCCTCGTAATAGCTGTTATCAACAATTTATCAACAAAATGGTGATATTCACCCGTTAAAACATACAGTAGGTTAGATTCACCTTTGATGCACACCAGTGTCACATTCACCTGTTACATAGCCTACAACGTGATTACATGCACCTGTTATTAAAGGAATAATAAGATTTATTCTCCTTTTTTAATTGGCTGTCACGTCCGTTTCAGGTACTTTCCACACTACCCCTGCCAGGAACGACGACCATGCAGCCGTCAAACGACACCCGTCGCAACTCCAGCAGCACCATCCCCTACCCCCGGGACGCACAACACCGCCGACTCTCCAACAGTCTCTCAGCTGGAATAATAACGTTGGACCCAACCATGAAGGAGTGGACGGACCGTTACATGTACAAACGTAAGTGAGTCGGGGGCAGCTGTATACTGAGACAAGGGCCTCCCACATGCAGCTGTATGTAATATTACAGAGGCATGTATAGCTGTAGGTAAGACGGGCTGTGTGTTACACAGAGGCATCTGTAGCTCTCTGTAACACGGGGTCGGGCGGTGGGGTAGCCTAGTGGTTAAAGCGTTCACTCGTCACGCCGAAGACCCGGTTTCGATTCCCCACATGGGTACAATGTATGAAGCCCATTTCTGATGTCCCCCTCCGTGATATTGCTGGAATATTGCTAAATGCGGCGTAAAACTAAACTCAATCAGCGTCGTAAAACCAAACTCAGTCAGTCAGTCAGTCAGTGTAACACGGGCTATCTGCAGTTGTATGTATCAAAGCGTACCTACAGCTGCATGTAATAGTTGTTGTCTACAGCTGCATGTAGCACTGGTGTCTGGATGTAAAACAGGGGCACCTGCGTCTGTCTGTAACACGGCGTATCTACAGCTGTGTTTAATACGTGGTGTATACAGCTACATGTAACTCAGAGGCGCTTACAGCTGACTGTAATACGGACTTTCTACAGCTGTCTGTAATACGGACTATCTACAGCTGTCTGCAACACGGACTATCTACAGCTGTCTGCAACACGGACTATCTACAGCTGTCTGTAACACGGACTATCTACAGCTGTCTGTAACACGGACTATCTACAGCTGTCTGTACCACGGACGTTCTACAGCTGTCTATAATACGGACTATCTACAGCTGTCTGTATCTACAGCTGTCTGCAACACGGACTATCTACAGCTGTCTGCAACACGGACTATCTACAGCTGCCTGTAACACGGACTATCTTCAGCTGTCTGTAACACGGACTATCTACAGCTGTCTGCAACACGGACTTTCGACAGCTGACTGTAATACGGACTTTCTACAGCTGGCTGCAGCACGGACTATCTACAGCTGTCTGCAACACGGACTTTCTACACCTGTCTGTAACACGGACTATCTACACCTGTCTAACCAGGTGTATCTACACCTGTCTGTTACACAAAGGTACATGCAGCCGTCAGTAACACTCTGTATCTACAGTCCCCCGCCGTGATATTGCTGAAATATTGCTAAAAGCGGCGTACAACTAAACTCACTCACTCACTGTATCTACAGCTGGATGTAACACGACCTATCTACATTTGTCTGTAACAGGGTGTACCTCTGTGCAGCTGAATGTAACTCAGAGACAACAACAGCTGCCTCGAACACGACCTATCTATAACTGTAGTAACAGCCCTATGAGACACGTGTTAGCATACATACTGCCACGGCGTTTCATAACGGTGTCACTAGTCTGTTCGGGTATGAATAATACATCACATTCCAGCCTTGTCACTGACGTGGCACATCTCCTGTAATAATGCTGTTCAAAGTATTGCAAATCTGATATGATAGCATTGTCACCATGGCAACTGGTGCCACTGGGGATATTTTCTGGTTTATTAGTATTGATTTGCTTGTGTTCGATATGGTTTCGATAATCCTGGAGATTCTAACGGCATGCGGTATCCGAACTGGGCTGTTCTCTTGGACAGTGTAGTTGGTACCGGAAGAGATATATGTGCTGTGTTTAAACGTACGTAATCAATTTACTGGAAATTTTCTTCTGATATCAATACTCCCAAAATTAGACTTGGTCCATTGGACAATCGAAGAGATCAGAGTACATGATACCTCCCCCCCCTCTCTCCTTTCGGTTTGTCAGTTTTTAAAGTGAAATAGAACATATACCATTTATAAAGTTGATTATACATGAAATTTATCATTGGACATGTATAACGATAGTATCAAAACGCACCAATCTATGGTCGTGAAACTACACTAGGTTGGTATTTGTTGTACAGTAGCTCATGTGCATGTGTGAGTCGAAACACCTTCATTTGTAGGGGAATGCAATATCTGAATATATTGATAATTCATTAAATTAATCATTAATACTTTTCTTCTTATTTTGAGTTGATATGAATAATTGAAAGCTAATGAGTAAATTATTCATATTATGGAGACATTCGCACATAAAGAAGTGTAAGAGATCGTCTTAAAGACAGTTGATAGCTCTGAGCGTCATTTAGAATGAATGGAGTAACACTGAAAACGTTTGTTTTGGGCATTAAATGATATTATGGGGTTAAAAAAAATCCAAACCTGAGTCAGTTGAGTACAACACTACGGCCGGACGCCTCTTTCCGTAATGGAATTGGAGTTTATAGAACACCAGAGATGATGTAGAGAATCCACGATTACATAGTGATGACCGGCCAGAGAAAGACGCCATATTGTTTCTTCAGTAAGCCTTTTCCAGGAGGGATAGAATATTTCATTATCGCGGACTCTTTGGCATTTAAGACAATAGCTTGTTGGGTTTCTGACATCTGATAATAAACGCATCAGGCATATCTCGTGAATCTACCAACACCAAAGAAAGGAGACTGATGTAAAGGTTATGATCTCCGCTTTCTGAAATGCCGAGTTTGTCATCATGGTAGACTCTCTGGACCAAGAGGCCAGACAATTGTGGAGTGGAAATGAGACGAGCAATAGTGGGAAGCTTAGGAAATGTGTGCTCTTTGAAAATACCTTAGAGGCATTCGAACCCACACTCACAGAATCAGACAGCTAATCCCCAGCACACAAAGTCAGCCTGATCAAGTCCAAATCTGTGGAAGGTGCGCTGGCTGAGTGGGTTAGATCGCTGACTTTGTGTGCTGGCGATTAGGTGCTTCACTCTGAGAGTGTGGGTTCGAATCCCGGATGGAACTCAACCCCCAAAAGTACTAGAATCTGTACTTTACTGAGAAAGTGTAATCCCAAATATAGCGTGTTACAACTGTAGGGCTGTGCACCAATCAGTCATCACCATGGCTACAGTCTCTGAACTCCTCCAACACCTACTGGTCTGTTCTCCTGGTCTGTTCTACTGGTCTGTTCTACTGGTCTGGGGACAGGACACGGACGGCAAATAGTCTATGGCACATCAGTTCGCTTCAAGAACAGAGTTGCTTCCCCTGGTCACGCCAGACACCTATGGTCTTTGTTTCTAATCAATGTCCTCTCCGATTGTGTTTCTAAGTCTGTCAACATGGTCTGTTCGTTGTTGTTTTGTATCGAAGTGGTAGACATCTCAGTCCTGCATCACTTCTGGGTATCCGCCATCATTAAGCTGACAGGCTGTGTTATAACCTATTTAGTTCAAAGTGGCGTTAAACCCAACTCACTCACCGAGGGACCGTTCATAAGTTATGGCTAAGGGGGTGATGATGATTTTTATGGAAAAGCATATACAATTTGAATGACCAACCCCCTAAAATGTATGTACAAAGTAAGTGACCCCCCTGTATGTCATGTACAAAGTAAGTGACCCCCCTGTATGTCATGTACAAAGTAAGTGACCCCCCTGTATGTCATGTACAAAGTAAGTGACCCCCCTGTATGTCATGTACAAAGTAAGTGACCCCCCTGTATGTCATGTACAAAGTAAGTGACCCCCTGTATGTCATGTACAAAGTAAGTGACCCCCTGTATGTCATGTACAAAGTAAGTGACCCCCCCTGTATGTCATGTACAAAGTAAGTGACCCCCTCGTATGTCATGTACAAAGTAAGTGACCCCCTGTATGTCATGTACAAAGTAAGTGACCCCCTGTATGTCATGTACAAAGTAAGTGACCCCCTGTATGTCATGTACAAAGTAAGTGACCCCCTGTATGTCATGTACAAAGTAAGTGACCCCTGTATGTCATGTACAAAGTAAGTGACCCCCTGTATGTCATGTACAAAGTAAGTGACCCCTGTATGTCATGTACAAAGTAAGTGACCCCCTTTATGTCATGTACAAAGTAAGTGACCCCTTTATGTCATGTACAAAGTAAGTGACCCCCTGTATGTCATGTACAAAGTAAGTGACCCCCCTGTATGTCATGTACAAAGTAAGTGACCCCTGTATGTCATGTACAAAGTAAGTGACCCCCCTGTATGTCATGTACAAAGTAAGTGACCCCCTGTATGTCATGTACAAAGTAAGTGAGTCCCCTGTATGTCATGTACAAAGTAAGTGACCCCCCTGTATGTCATGTACAAAGTAAGTAACCCCCTTATGTCATGTCATGTACAAAGTAAGTGACCCCCTGTATGTCATGTACAAAGTAAGTGACCCCCCTGTATGTCATGTACAAAGTAAGTGACCCCCTGTATGTCATGTACAAAGTAAGTGACCCCTCGTATGTCATGTACAAAGTAAGTGACCCCCCTGTATGCCATGTACAAAGTAAGTGACCCCTCGTATGTCATGTACAAAGTAAGTGACCCCCCTGTATGTCATGTACAAAGTAAGTGACCCCCTGTATGTCATGTAAAAAAGTAAGTGACCCCTCGTATGTCATGTAAAAAAGTAAGTGATCCCCCTGCATGTCATGTACAAAGTAAGTGACCCCCCTGTATGTCATACGAGTTTCCATTGTGAAACATTTTAATGAAAGTACTTTCTTCCAACTAATGATGTACCTTAACTTGAATGACCGTCACCTCGCCAGGCTGCACCACCTAATCCCTTAATCTCACGATTTGATCAATGGTTGATTAGGCTCACGTTGATATATAATTACTCTAATTGTCACTGCATATTGGGATTGCGTAAATCGATATTTGATGGCCACGCGGGTTGGTCTGGCTGTGACAGCTGGAGAATATACAACAGGTAGATCCAGCCTTAATTAGCCCCATTAAACCATCGTCTCGTTATAGAGACACGCCCATACTGACAACGTAACGGGAGAGACATGGGAACATGGTCACTTCTGTCCAGTTGCCATCAGAAGGCTGGACATTACATCTGCGTCCCGCGAGAGCCACACCTAGATACCGATAAATGATATACGATGCGTGCGCATTGTTCACGGGTATCCGATAGCTGCCGTTAATGTGCAGCCGTGTTATCAGGAGGCATGCATGGGAGATACGGGTAGCCTCTGTGTTGCACTACACCCAGAACCAGCCCCAGTGTCCCGGGCCCGTCCAGCGTCCCCCGCCCCTCCCATCAGTTGACCAAGTCATGGATACCTCTACGCGCGTTAAAGGGAAGCTCCAGAGAGCCAATGTTGTTCAACTGGAAGGCGTGACTTCAAGTACGTACTCTTTAAATCTATTTAACTTTAACTTTTTAAATTAGCATTCCGAAAAGTACTAGTAGTTATCTCGTCTTTGTCACAACGTTAGTAGTATGTCGTGAAGCCTCGACATTGTCTGAATGCATCAACGATATTATGTATTGATTTGTGATCGTGTGTCCTACCGTTGTCATGGCAAACAAAATGGCATTTTACTGATAAATCCGCCGTGGAGTATGTCGCATGTGTCGCATGTTGCTGATGACACCGAAGACAGAGAATTGTGTTAATTCAAGTGAAATATAGTTCCCTTTTTGAACATTTACTTGCAAGGTTGTATGCAAATACATAATTATCAAGGTTATGATATTACAGTGGTGGGCGACAACAGATGCTCATGTCGCCTAATGGTGTAGTGCTGTGCCGTTACTGTCAACGTGTATTGATCGATGCTCGCATCTGTAGAGGATAAACGATCTAGGAAGTTGCGTTTCCGTTTGAAGTGGTGGGACAAAAATAGCTTCCGTCCGATTTGTGACCCATTTAGATGTTACATTTGCATGGGAACATGTGTTAGTGTTTCAAGAGCCAAATGACATTGTGGTAAGTCCTTATTGTACGACAGGGGAATTCTGTGTGTCTAAGGTGTGGTTAACTGATTAAGCTTAAACTCACTCACAGTTATGAGTAGGGATTGTTTAGCTCCGCACTGAATGATACTTGACCTCTATCACGACATGTCAGCTTTTTTGGAGTGAGTGAGTGAGTTTAGTTTTACGTCACATTCAGCAATATTCCATCTATACTAGGCACATAAAGAAAATGTGCATGCAAAAATTTAAAATATAAATTGATCAAACCTGTGTAGACACATAAGGATTCAAACTCAGAGATTAATGACATGTATCCAACATGCATGCACGTGCCACGTTCTGTGACGTCAGTGGGTTCGTCCTTGAGACGTGCAATACGTTGTTGCACGTGCATTCCGGGAAAGAGAAACAGAGCAAATGAATGCCACACAATACTGTCACTTTGGAAAGCTCAACCCCTGCCCTTGCGATCATTCAAAAAATTAAACGGCTATTGCAACGCATGGTATGCCAAGGCTCACGTCTGCACAACGTCCGCTTTTAACAATATTCCAGCAATATCACGGCAAGGGACACCAGAAATGGGCTTCGCACATTGTACCCATATGTCGAATCGAACCTGGGTCTTCGGCGTGACGAGCGAGCGCTTTAACCAATAGGCTACCCCATTCGTGACCAGCTCGTGTTATTCCGGGACAAGCCGAATCTTCTTGGAGGTTACGGAAAGGGGCGAGTGGTGACGAATGAGGCTACCCGTCACCCCATTATACCTTGGTGGCCACGTGGATGAGGATCGAGGTTTCACAGTATACACTGACCTCGTGTTGTTGTTTTGTTGACATAAATTCTGCCACGTGTTCACATGCATCACACTGAAGATATCCTTTATGTACCAAACACATTCATTTTCCTCGTTGGAGTGTGTAGGCTGTTATACAGAACGAATTAAGTTGTGTATCTTAGCGATGTTTCCAACCATGTCAGATTGTTAAGGTGAGGTGAGGTGAGGTGAGGTGAAATTGGGTTTAACGTCGTGCTTGAGAATATTTCGCTCATATGACGACGTGCATGCGTGTGTACGTGTATGTGCGGCTGCTTGTACTAGCCCAGACTAAAACTGGTTTTATAGTGCTAGCCCACTAAGATACCATGCCGCAGTGAAGCATGAATACCCCACTCAGACACATTATACTGACTCCGAGCCGACCAGTCCTTGTTGTACCCATTAATGCCAAGCGCCAGGCAGGGACCAACAAATACCATTTTTTAACGTCTTTTGGTATGACGCGGTCGGGGATCGAACCCGCGACCTTCCGCTCTCTGGGCGGACGCTTCAGATTGTTAAGAATCCATGTGGTAATCACCCCACTAATGTAGTAATCTATTATCATCTATATGTCACGGGGGGGGGGGAAGTGATCCTCTTTATCCTCACTGACTGACTGACTGAGTTTGGTTTTACGCCGCTTTTAGCAATATTCCAGCAACATCACGGCGGGGGAAACCAGAAATGGCTTTATCCTCACCATATCCATCACAGTTCTTCTTGCATAAGGCATTGATATAACCATGCAGTACGACCACCACAACGACCACCCATAAACGCACGCACCCACGCACGCACGCACGCGCGCATGCACACACACGCAAAACAACCCCAAACAACGCACATGTTGTAATGTCGATAGGATATTGTAATAGGCCATGTGAAACTAAATTCACTCCCAGTCATCAGTCGCTTTTAAAATTTTGATCTTATAACTCAGTGGCGGGTGGGGGGGTGGTTCAGGGGTTCGGACCACCCCCACCCCCCCCTGAAAAATGACTTAAGTCCACATTGAAAAAAAAAATTTGCGTTGGCGGAGCCAAGGGGGTTCGGGTGATTTTAACCACCCACCCCCTTTTTAAAATTCCTGGATCCGCCCATGTAACTGGATAAAAATTAATTGGTTTCAGATATATCACCAAAACGGCGACCAACACAGTGATGTTTTATACCTTTATCACCTGTTATTCAAAAAGGTATTCTTGACACAAAATGCTCGAACTTTTTCGATTTGTTCATTTCAACGCCAGTCTTCTGATCCGTACAATTGCTCAGTCGAGTCGTGCTCCATGTATACAGTCACCATTGTCGTATAATGTATACACAAAGTGAGAATAGATTTATCATCTCTTAGGTATGTACTACAAGCAGACCCGACAAACGTTGGAATGTTAATTGTCTGCTCGTGTTCCCACGACCAAGGTGCGCTAAGGGTTGCCATCCCTTACAAGAAAAACTGTAGGTCGTATACTGCAAGTCAGCGTCGGGGAAGCGTAGCATGAAGAAAGGGTTGAATTAGGTTATCCTAAACTGTCAACGATAAAAACTGAAATTAAGTCGTTCTCAAAAGGTCATGACTAATCGTCAAAACAAACGTCCATATAAGCTTTATTAAAAAATAGCTTTGATTTCGAGGGTGAGCATTAACCACATGCGTAGCTAGTGATTAAGTGTCTGGCAAAATAATTGATAAAATCATAAAATTATAAACGTTATCAAAACGTTATGCGCCTGAAACAGTTGCTGAAACACAAGTTAAGGTGAAAAACACAAGTATATTATATCACCGTCAAATATTATATTCTTATTTGTTTTATTTTAATCCACCATCAAACGCGGGGACATAGCTTTATGTTTGTACCTGCCCTGCAGATGTCATGGTAGCCTGCCCAGTGTGGTACGATCTGAAACATTCAGCGCATTGGTCTAACCGTATGAGGGCCACACTCTGTAAAAACATAATTGTACGTAGACGTTACTTTCATTTACTTAGATGATATCTTACCTCTACGTAGAAGATACATCCATCTCCATACATTACATTATGATCCTGTCTATGTGTATGTGTGTGTGTGTGTGTGCGCGCGCGCGCGCGTGTGTGTGTGTAATGAATCTATATGAGTTGAATTCATTTCAGTTGTGACACAAAAAAGCAAAATAAAAATACAGGACATCACTACCACCACACTTACAAATTAAACTGACTGAAGTTTGGAATAATTTGGCAAGCCCAGATCGCCTCAGCCTCTGGACTTAAAGGGGCGGTGGGTAGCCTAATGGTTAAAGCGTTGGCTCGTCACGCCGATGACCCGGGTTCGAATCCCCACATGGGCACAATGTGTGAAGCCCATTTCTGGTGTCCCCCGCCGTGATGTTGCTTGAATATTGCTAAAAGCGGCGTAAAAACCAAACTCAGTCAGTCAGTCTGGACTTAAATGTTAGTCCACCCTAGTGTAAGGGATTGATATGCGATTAATATTCAGTGATTGATTTTCAGTGATTGATATTCAGAAATAATAATTTTGTTCGCAGACTGTTCAGAATGGAAAGTTATGTACCCAGAAGCAACGGGAAAACGTCAGTCGCCGGTGAACCTGCTATCACATGACGCCGTGTATGACCCTTCATTGAACAACTGTCAGATGACCTTCGCATACAGCACATCACGTGACACCGATATATTTAACAACGGTCACACATTGGTCATCTACCCGAGGTCAAAGCAAGGTAATTTCAGCAAGTTTCCATTCCAGCTTTTTGTATTTCAAAATTTGATTGCGTTTTCGTGCGTCATGATAAATACGAACACTGATTTAAGATGTGTCGCAAAGGAAACAAGGACAGTCCAAATGAGAATTTCCAAATTTTGCATCACCTCTTGGGATGTGTAACAAGCCATTGCGAATCAACATATTGCAGGGCAAACCATCGCTCTTCGATGGCGTATCATCGTACCCAGATGGCCTATTGTGGGTTAGAATTGGTCTTCAGCAACCCATGCTTGTCGTAAGAGACAACTAACGGGATCGATGGTCAGGCTCGCTGACATGGTTGACTCATGTCATCGTATCCAACTTGAGTTGATTGATACTCATGATATTGATCATTGGTCCAGACTGTTTTGATTACAGACCGCTGCCATGTAGCTGGAATACTGCTGAGTGCGGCGTTAAACAACAATTTTTTGTTGTTGTGGTGCCAAGATGGCGGCTCATCTTAACCCAATGTAATGTTTTCAGTTGCTGACTGGACTCGACAATTTTCAAACAGCTACAACTGCCTCCGTGGTGTAGTGGTTAGAGCGTCCGCCCGGAGAGCGGAAGGTCGCGGGTTCAATCCCCGACCGCGTCATACCAAAAGACGTTAAAATATGGTACTTGTTGGTCCCTGCCTGGCGCTCGGCATTAATGGGTACAACAAGGACTGGTCGGCTCGGAGTCAGTATAATGTGTCTGAGTGGGGTATTCATGCTTAACTGCGGAATGGTATCTCAGTGAGCTAGCACTATAAAACCAGCTTAAGTCTGGGCTAGTACAAGCAGCCGCACATACACATACACACGCATGCACGTCGTCATATGAGCGAAATATTCTCAAGCACGACGTTAAACCCAATTTCACCTCACCTCACTTCACCTCAAACAGCAGCTGGGAATTGTTAGCTGCGGCGTTGTTGTTGACAAGCGGCATTTGTTTACATGGGGCACTCTAACCCCACGTCATCATGTTCAGATCGAAGCTGAAATGGTCAGACCGCGGAGCTTTAGTATATCCTCAAAGGTTTGTTCTGAAAACAACATATCCTTATAACAGAACAGTTGACATCTGTAAGTTCTTCCCTTTCTACAAGCACAGCGCTGCACACACACAGAGATGTATGTTTACAAGTTGTTCTGTTGCTTCCGACAGTGTTGAGCGGGGGTCCCCTGTCCCACGGGAGTGAGTACGAACTGGGGGAGATCCGATTCCATTGGGGTCGGGATGACTCCCGGGGCTCCGAACATACCGTCAACAACAAGGCGTTTCCAATGGAGGTAAGTATGTCAAAACACCATGCTAGTAAATGGATACATCGAACGGGGTGGGGAGGCGTGGGGTGAAAGACCAGGTGTGTTGGTGAACGTTGTTTTCCACTGCGACTATAGTATGTTTGCAGTGAAAACGTACCGATGAATTTCACTTTAAACAAAAACGTAAATCAAGTTAAGTGAAATTAAGATTGCGAATCCTCATAATTTTACCTTGCCATATGAACATTTAAATCTCAGAATTTTTTTCAACTTAGGATAAAAGTTGTTTAACAAACGATCATAGTTTCAAATCGCTATTATTGGTTTGTATTACAAGGGGGTGAACGCAGTAGATGGAACAGTGAAACAAAGCACGTGCGGTACGTGATGAGCGTTAACTTAACCCAACACTACTTGTTCTCGATGTTTCATTTAAAGTGCATACCCCTTGTAACACAAACCAATAATAGCGATTTGAAACTATGATCGTTTGTTAAACAACTTTATCCTAAGTTGAATAAAATTCTGAGATTTGAATGTTCATTTGGCAAGGTAAAATTATGAGGATTCGCAATCTTAATTTCACTTTATTCTGATTTACCTTTTTGTTTAGAGTGAAATTCATCGGTACGTTTTCACTGCAAAAACAGACTTCAATAGTCACAATGGTCTGAGTATTACGTTTCTGACAGACAGACAAATCTGATGACGCGAGCAGCGTTCCCGGATCAACAAAGTCACACCATAGGCGGAAGGTCTAGGACCTTCGATCCCCGTGTGACAGTAAATCATACCCTCGGCTCGGCTGACGTTCTGAAATATGTATCTAACCGTTGAAGAAACTCAATTTATGCCAGTGGCGCTCGGCATTACCTTGCGTATCACAAAACCTGGTGAATTCTCATTTACAATTCGGGCTACAGATATGCACCGAATAGAGCGAGTTTGAATGATAATATAGTTGCACGTTAAAAGGTGGGAATAATAGAGGGTGCTCGCAATCTTTATTTCGCACTTTATTCGGTATACAATCTAACCTGAGATTTGTTTACGGGCATATGTCGTGATTTGAGCGAAATGGACGGCAAAATTATTGAAAGCTTTTCACTGAGTAAAAGACCAGGTTAGTGATAATTTCAACACTGTCACAATGGTCTGAGAATTACGTTTCTGGCAGACAGACAAATGGCTGATGACGCGAGCAGCGTTAAACGCGACGACATACACATCAACAAAGTCACTCAGTGGAACCAATGGAATCTCGGCATCGTCGATTACCAAGAGAGTGATAATTATGGCCTCCCTGGGAATACCGAGCTAAGCGACAAAGTCGATACGGAGATAATCCTCTGTGACTTTATAGTCGGCATTTCCTCGCACCCAGACAGCTTTTGACTTGACTCATGTTAACGGGCCAGGCCACCATCCTATAGCGAGAATATCGCTGTGTGGAGCGCTAGGCAACAGACAAACTTAGGTATGGGATACGGTGGATGTATTCTACACGTCTGTTGTCAGACTGTCATTGTCAGACTGTCATAAGCCCTGGTGCAGGGTGTAACATCCTGCCCGGGTCGGGGACAAATCTTTGATTCATCTACATCAGCACGATTTCATTTTTACATCGTGACATATTGTCTGATGACATACAGATGTCTACAGTAGTGACACCACTAGCTGAAGGCTCCTTGCAGCGTCTGTCATAGCTCGCATCCTACCGTTACCTAAGTAACATTCGTCACAAGCTGGGGACATTCAAGGACAAGTTGATACCTTCTGGCAGCAGTCGTCGCCGCTGTCGTCTTTTCGTAGTCTGCAAAAAGCAATCGTGACCTGGTGCATCCTGGACAAGACGACACATTGCAACATTATCAGTGCTCGGACCTTTCCGTAACCTAAATGCAGGTTAATTTCGAATGGCACGAGTTAGTCACGAATTGCCCTTGTAGTATTCGTCACAGCTCGGGTCTTTCCGTGACCTTCTAAACGGTCAAAGGGGACGAGTGGGTCACGATTTTGACTCACGAATGGACGAATGGTCATGAAGCCAACAAATAGAATAGAGTGGTGACGAATGCAGTATGACATGCCGACTTCTCATTAATGTAATGACGTAGTTCGTTGCAACGTTATGATCACACCGCTTTAAACATTCTTTGAGTAAACGTTTCTTTGAAACAGAGGTATGTATATATATATATATATATATATACGTGTACAAAAGACTGGAATATTTAACAAGGAATCTTCAATGTCTAATGTGGACGTTAAACTTGATACTCCTCATGAAATATAGTTATACCACATCTGATATTTAGTTGCACTGCACACATCCACGCGTGCATATATAAATGGTTTGTCTTTATCTATTAGGTGCAACTTGTCCACTGGAATACCCGTCACCATGACAACCTGGAGGACGCCTTGGGTAGGCCAGGAGGCGTGGCTATTGTATCTCTATTCACGCAGGTGAGTGACATATACAGGATCAATGTCTAGACTGGAAGCAGTCTCTGTTTCAAAAACATATTATTGAAAAATGAAAAATATTTTGAAAATCGAAGGTGAACGAAGTGTATTCCGAATGCCGTGATATGGTTTGAATATTGTCGCAGAAAACACGGTTCGTTCTTTAAACCAAACTGACAGGCGCTCTTCGATATACCTTTACTTTTTAAGTGTAGGAATTGAATTGCATCTATCTAATAATTCAAAAGGTGTGTTTGTGTTTATATTTCTGAGGGGCGATGGGGTCTCTTATTTGACATGTGCCCCGCCGTGATATTGTCGAATACCTCTAAATATATTAACACAATAATCATCATTCACTGACGTTTCTGTCTGCAGATAGGCCGGGAGCATCAAGGATTACGAGCTATCACCGACGGTCTGGAGGATGTCCATTATAAGGTAGTCGATGCTCTAATACCAATCTAAGAAATTTTATCAAATATTCAAATTCATTTGGAAAAATCATTATTATTTTTTTGTTTAGGGTCGTCAGAAATCCCTACTGACCGGTTTCAACCCTGCGTGCCTCCTCCCGGGTAGGTGCGAAGTAATTTTCACATGTCACATGCTGTGAATGTCACGTACAAAATCACATGTTCCTAATAGTTATTTGTCACATACGTAGACACGTGTCGCATGCATGTGTCATCCGGTGTCCTATACAGTCATGTGTTACATGCGTAGGTACATGCGTGTAGCAGGTACTGGTCAAAGGTCACACATGTAGCCACTGTCTCGTGACTTTTGTCATGTCATAAAAAGTTTTTCTCCTGTTTCGTGTAAGTGTTCACCAAGAGCTGTATGTTTACTTTCAGACCCTTCGCTAAGAGATTTCTGGACGTACGACGGCTCGCTCACAGCGCCCCCTTGTAGCGAAGAGGTGACGTGGATCCTATTCCGGTACCCTCTAATGATCTCACATCCGCAGGTACACAAGATGTGTTCATCGACTTTAATGTTGCAGCAATGTTCCTGCTGTGTGACGTCGGGGTGCATTTCATCCAGTCAGACAATCCGATGATGGATATAAGCAATGATCACCCGTGAAGATCCGGGTTAGAATTGATCTTTAATAACCCATGCTTGTTGTGAGAGGCGACTAACCGGATCGTGTGATCAGGCACGCTGACTTGGTTGACACATGTCATCGTATCACAATTCCGCGGATTGATGCTCATGCTGTTGATCACTGGATTGTCTGGTCCAGACCCGACCATTTACAGACCGCCGCCATATAGCTGGAATATACCTGAGTGCGACGTAAAACTACACTCACTCACTATAACTGACTGACTGACTGAGTTTGGTTTTACGCCGCTTTTAGCAATATTCCAGCAACATCACGGCGGGGGACACCAGAAATGGGCTTCACACATTGTACTCATGTGGGGATTCGAACCCGGGTCTTCGGCGTGACGAGCCAACGCTTAACCACTAGGTTACCCCACCGCCCCAACTCACTATAAACAATGATCCATTCTATCAGGGTATATGTTTTTCTTCTATATTATGGAACACATAATTTAAAGACCGCCTCCGTGGTGTAGTGGTTAGAGCGTCCGCCCGGAGTGCGGAAGGTCGCGGGTTCGATCCCCGACCGCGTCATACCAAAAGACGTTAAAATATGGTACTTATTGGTCCCTGCCTGGCGCTCGGCATTAATGGGTACAACAAGGACTGGTCGGCTTGGAGTCAGTATAATGTGTCTGAGTGGGGTATTCATGCTTCACTGCGGCATGGTATCTCAGTGGGCAAGCATTATAAAACCAGCTTCAGTCTGGGCTAGTACAAGCAACCGCACATACACATACACACGCATGCACGTCGTCATATGAGCGAAATATTCTCAAGCACGACTTTAAACCCAATTTCACCACCACCACCACCATAATTTAAAAATAATCTACCGGGGTATTTTGCTTAAAACCCAGTGTGTATAAGATGGTTTAAAGCGTTTGTAAGTGCCTACAGAAAGTAAGCTGCAAAATCTCCTTGTCCGACAGTTTAGCATACTGAGTCTGGTCACGTGGGTTGTCCATATCCGCTTTCCTTGGGAGGAACTGATTTTAACCAAACTATGTTCATCATTTGTTGGCAGATTGAGGATAACTACTCGTCCCTTTCCGTAACCTGAAAGTAGACTCGTACCCCTCTCGTCGCCATTTTATTGAACGCGGCTCTGTCTGAGCGCAAAATTGCAGAGAGAAAGAAATAGTCTAGTCGCCGAACTATTTTCAAGGGCATGTAACTCTAGTTTACTTGGAAAACACACATGGCATCCACGCCAAGGAAATTACCTCAAAGGGTATGTTTAACATGCTTGAATACTTTCCTACGCCATAATGTTAAAATATCCTCGTTATAAAAATTCAGGAAACCCAGGAGGACTATGCAATAATTAGAATATACTTGAATTGCCTGGGGAAAACATTATGCAAGCCGAAATGAACAATATTTCAAAGACCTCTTTTGACCCAATTTCTTCTCTACATACGCGCATTCTGATTGGCTGGGGGAATATTTCTCCCGGACATGGCTACGAGTGAGGTACGAGTCTACTTTTAGGTTACGGAAAGGGACGAGTAGTTACGAATGCCTGTCCGTATCACCACAACAGTGCCACACCAACACAACACTGGTGTGTATAAGCACGTATCACATGGAAGGGTATATGGCCCTAGTGTCAGTAACACATATACCATACAGATTCATTGGTAGTATTGACCTGAAGAACCAATTGCTTTCGCAGAACCTCTATAATTGTTCTTTCCCCACAGAACTGCTATAATTGGTTTTACCCATGTCACCTTTGAGGTTATTCTATCAACTTTTCATTTTCCATGCATTTAAAAAAATGTTGAACTTTGAGCAATATTTCGTTGCTTTCATTTAGTTGTCACTGTAACAATCATTTAGCGTGATAAGCTGCAGCCTATATACCTTGTGTGTATACTGTTCCTGTATATGTGTACAAGCACAATGGTTTCTATGACGTTTCTGACATGTTGTACTAATTTAAAGTTGATATTATGTTTTGTATTACAGTATGAAAACCAAAACCGTTGGACATTTGCTTGTGATGTTGGTTGTCATGCCATTGTTCAGCATTGTTAATAAAAGTCGTGTATTACGTTGCGTTCAGCAAAGTTCCAGCCAGGTGAAAACTGTCGACACAAATCATAGTTTAACACGGTGTGAGGAGTCAAACTTGGATTACGTTACACAAAATGGTCTTATTGCTACGACAGTCGTAAACCTATGTTAAAGCATGGGTGTTACAATCACCTTAGCGCTATGCTTATCGTAAACCCATGTTAATGTATGGGGCTACGATCTCACCTTAGCGCCTATCGTAAGACTATGTAACAGGATGAGCGTAAAGTACGAGTATCTAAGTGCTAAGACCGCTTTGTGGAAACGGACCATAGGCCTTCAGGGTTGCAAGCCAACTACAGGCTACACCACTGATTAAGCCCGATATGTTCTACATATTGGTGTGTGAGCGAGTTGGTTTTACGCCGCTTTTAGCAATAATCCAGCAATGTCACGGCAGGGGACACCAGAAATGGGCTTCACACATTGCACCTAGTGGGGAATCGAACCCGGGGCTGCGGCGTGACGAGCGAACGCTTTAACCACTAGGCTACCCCAATGCCCCAGACACAGTATGTTGATTCAGAGCCAACCAGTCTTTGTTTTCCTCTTCATTGAGGAAGGATAACACGTACTATCTGTTTCATCTCGCTCCGGATAGACTACATAGGCGTTCACGGGACCGCTGGGGAGACCATGCCATGTTGAAAATGTGATTACTTCATTGGTAAACATAGGTCTCCCCTATAGCGATAGGAGCGGCGGGGTAGCCTAGTGGTAAAAGCGTTCGCTCGTCATGCCAAAGACACGGGTTCGATTCCCCATATGGGTACAATGTGTGAGGCTTGCTCCCGGTGTCCCCCACCGTGATATTGCTGGAATATTGCTTAAAAGCCGCGTAAAACTAAACACGCTCACTCGCCCCATAGTGATATATACCGATCAAGAGAGTGTGGTGCTATGTTCATGTATGACTGAGTATTGGTTTGGGGCACTTTACAAATGGTCTGGCAATATCACGTCGAGGGACTCGACATCTATTTTTGAAGTGTACCAGTGCACGGAATTGAGCTAGTCTTGAGCGTGACAAGCCAACACGTTAACTACTGGGCTACCCTATGGATGAATGAGTGTGGTTTTACGCCGCTTTTAGCAGTATTCCAGCAATATCATGGTGGGGGACACCAGAGATGGGCTTAACACATATACCAATGTGGGGAATCGAACACGGGCCTTCGGCGTGACGAACGAACGTTTTAACCACTAGGCTACCCACCCCCTATGGATGAATGGGTTGTGCAGACAGCAAACTGTGCATATGTACCACAATTCAGTGAATATACCTGCTTAAATTAATCTTTGGCAACTCGGACGGGATTCAGTGGTCCGATTCGTGGACCATATGCATCACCATATTCCTTTTTCGATTCTCATTGAGTCAGTCAGCAGATTGTCTGGTCCAGACTCGATTATTTACAGACCTCCGCCATATGGCTTGAATATTGCAGAGTGTTGCGTTAAACACTAAACAGGCCCATTTCAGTCAACTGTCGCCAGTGAGTGGTCTTCACAGCGCATTTTATTGCTGGAATATTGACGAGTATTCCACAAAATCATACCCTGTTATCAGATCAGGTTCGCAAACAGTTGGTTGGCGGTATTGACCAATCCAGTGTTTTGAATACTGAATAAGTTTCATGTTGTTGTGTGCAGTATTTCAGTTACATTGTCATGACTGTTTGATCAGAAAAAAAACCCAACTGAAAGGTTAATTTCAAATTACTTTGGCTCCCAAGAAGATTGGACGCTGTATGAGGTATGAAACAAGAACCACAATCGAGGAAGATGTTGATACCCCCGTCACACTTGAGCCGGAAAGAGCCGGAATAAACATTTCTGGAGATTCCCGGAAGTTCGAACTGCATTCTAAAACTACTTACTGCATTCCGAATGCATTCCAACTATTCGGGGCAATTCTTGTAACATGCCCGAATGTTTTGAACATGTTCAAAACTTTCGAGGTACATTCGAAGTGGAAAAATATCGAACGGCATTTGAGGTACATTCGAACTGCATTCTAAGTATTCCTACTGCATTCTTACTATATTATAACTACATTCTAAGTATTCTGAACATATTCGAGCGAGAATAGAAAAGACAAACCATTTCAAATCCTGTCAGAATGTCTCGAATGAGTCGGAATGTATCTCGATTGCTGCTGGACTTCAGATGGAATATTGTTCAAATGTATCGGAATATTTCGATAGAAGTTGGAATACAATTCGAATGTACCTCGAATACACCTGGAATACATTCCGAACGACCCGAATGCTTTTCAAATGATCACCGACGTCCTCGGAACACCGCCGAATCGCATGAAAACGTGGCCACCTGTCACTGAAACGTCAGATAGGATTGGGAGTCGCTTTCTTACAAAGCTTGAAAAAAAATGTTGATTAATTATTTTTTGGGACATTCTCTCCCGAATGGGGTTCGAATTTTGGAAATATTTTTTTCTGTCTGATTCTCCTCGATTCCTGTCAATTCGAAATAAGTGTAAAGGAGCCTTAAATGAAGGAGAAACGTCAAAAGAGACACATGTTCCAATTGGATGAATTTTGGTGCTGACAAACCAACCATCTACAGAATCTGGGTTATACCTCGAGCTGACCTTTATCCTGCTGTCTTCAACAACCTGGGTATAAGTGCAGTCCAAATGGACTGGATTGTCAGACTTAGACAAGCTGGATCCTTGTTCACAAAATCTGTCACTGGACTGTCTGATCCAGCCTCTATTGTTTACAGGATACCATCATATGACTCCAATATTGCCAGTGCCCCTATTTAACAACAAACAAAAGCAATGAATCACCGCCATGGAAAAGTTCCGCTCCTGGATTCCCTTGTACAAAATAATCCTAGTGCTGCGATGTGTGTCTATGTTAGGGGACACAAGAAACGGGCATTGCCAGGGTTTTGTGGATTCCCTTGTACAAAATAATCCTGCGATGTGTGTCTTGTACAAAATAATCCCAGTGCTGCAATGTGTGTCTATGTTAGGGGACACAAGAAACGGGCATTGCCAGGGTTTTACACCACCCACACATGTGCCTCATGCACAAATGTAGAGAATGGATGCAGAAAAAAAATTCACTGCATCCAGAGGGACGCACAATATTATTCACTGTACCCACAGCACATCTATGACTTTTCTAAGTGTTTGGTTGTTTCTTTCGGAGCAGTTACCTGCATCATTTCACCCATCAGTTCATGTCATCAATTATTCATTACAGGCTCTAAAGAAATTATCAAAAGATAGTTCTCTGCATCCTTACTTCACAGGACCCTTGTAATGAGTGAGTAAATGAGTTGGGTTTTACTTTTAGCAATATCCTAGCAATGTCATGGCTGGGGAAACCTGAAATGGGCTTCAGACATTGTGCCCATGTGGGAAATCGAACCCTGGCCTTCAGCGTGACGAGCGAACACTTTAACCACAAGGCTACCCCACCGCCCACCCTCATAATACCCATAATACCCTTAAACTAATAATTAAGGGTTCCCGGCCTCTGGTCCCGTGGACCCCTATGTTTGTGAGTCGAGGACTCATACTCCTGTAGCCAATAGGATAAGCTGCAACCTCTAGGCTACCCAACATTCCCTTCACTACCCAATACAACAAGAAAACAAACTCATCACTTGAAGTATTGACAGCTTTAATCATAAATATAATATTTGGATGTAAGTGTTGCATGGCCATTTATCTGCTTTGGCTTCAGATAGAGGTTATAAACACTGTTACCTGTGAGAAGGCAGGTCACTGTGACATTGGACAGATTCAGTACAAGAACCTAAAAAACAATCTGGTACTGACAAGGAAACACACCGCAAGTGATGACTACAAAATTTTGGCCGTATTGCAGAGAACTATAAACAATGCAATAAATGAATGTCTACATTTAACAGTGACAGGCCTAGAACTTACTAGAATGCCCAATGCTGCTTAAAACCTAATGGGTGAAGTCACCCGAGTAAGATTGACATATGAACGTTTAAAGCTAACTTTCTCAGAATAGACTGTTACACACTGCACCTACTGAGCGTAGTAAAAAGCCTCTAGAAAGCCATGTTGCATTGACTGTTAAACCTCATCAGCCTTCCGCAAATGTGAAGAGACTGGACTGCTGTCATGAAGGACATTTGAGGCAAGGTACATACATATTATACATATTTAGGAAAGCTTACGAAGTTCCAGCCATGTTCATCAAGCTAAACCTGTCTTGAGTAGAGCTACTTGAGAAGCAAATAGACCATTTAGACCTCATATAGACCAGGCTTTCAAAGTCTGTATGGTCCTTCTGTGCATGAACACACAAGAACCAGACCTACTCCAAAATCAGTTCAGTCAAATTTGCTTTTTTTCTAAGGAATTACAAAATACAAAAGGTAGGACCACAAATAACTACACACTAGCCATATAATTAACTATTGATCATAATCATTAAATATTATCAGCATTGAATGTTTACTTTGATTACATGAGTTGGTAATGCCTGACACAATCATTCAAGTAATATTACACCAGAAGATGTGCACACATATCAATATCATAATCAATGCTTCATATTCACCAGTAATGGAAGCTCGCAAAAAAGGTCACCATGGTAATAACATCAGTAGCTAATTCCATGGCAACCATATCATGAAGACATTATGACATAAATGGACACACTACCAACACCTGAGATCAATACAAGTCCTGTGCTGACAACGTCCCTAGCATCATGCTACATAAATACACTGACAAATTCTGGACTGATTCAAAATGACAGCTGGCGTTTTCCAAAAATAAATTACGATATGTAATATCTTACTCATCAAAACAGGTGCAAACTTACATAAAGGTGTTGGAAATAATACTGTTATATATACATCAGTGACATTACAAATGATGCCATGTATCTAAGTCAGTCATTTGAGTATCTGCGAGAGTGGTGGTGGTGGACCATGAGATATACTGCAGCCAACAAGCATAGCCATGTGGATGCTAGCCTGACTACCTTAACATATGACGTGCTTTGTTCAGGTATGATGTAATGACCACCAGTTAGGATGAATTATCTCCCTTGTCCTTATGTCTATTGCCTCACTGCTGGGCAAGGAAGGTCCGGATTCTCTGGAGAAGCTCCTTCTTCACATTGTCTGGGACGAGAGCTGTCAAGAAACACAGAACATTTAACATAACCACAGGCAAAAAAACCTGAATAAGGCTTATGCATGATTGTATATTTCATTAAAATAATATATTAATGAAGTAACTACAATGATTTAATTGGCACAGAAGTTTAAGTCTGGATCATCAAAAGGTATGGACACACCTATTTTCACAAAAGCACATCTAAATTATCTGTCTGAAGCCCAATGGAACCCTCGAAAAAATTGCATTTCTATTTCTGATAAGTATATAGGTCAGTATGTTATTGTCATGTAGTGTGGTATGCATCCAGAGTAAAGCATGCACATTGTGTTGCACCTCAATCTGGACAACTACAGCTACAGCTGTGTATAATACATGTCTAATCATGCTAATAATATAAGTCTTGAAGATATCTATATCATGAATAGATCTTGATATTAACCTGATGTGAGAGGAAAGATTAAAGTGACCAGTTTGGAGAATCTACCAAGATCATAATCACGTGATGAAGCTGACTGTACAAACATAGTTGCTAGCAATGATTCTGGGACGGTGACAAACGTGATGCATACAACACAATGTATCCTGGGAGCTAAGGGGAGGAAATTTACACAGTGTAGCATGGCAACTATGGGCGGAAGCTCTGTACAGTGTTTCCTTATAGCTAAGGGAGGGAACTCCGCACAGTGTATCATTGCATCCAAAGGAGGCATCTCAGCACAATGTACAAGTATCCTTGCAGCTAAAAGAGGCAACTCTGCGGTGTATTCCAAGGGCTAAGGGAGGCAACCCTTCACATAAGTCTTTGTAAAGTGTTCAGTGCCTACCTCTGCCTTTAGGTGTGATCTCCGCCACTAGGTCGTCAACAGTGATGTGCTCCAAGCCCTTCTGTTGGACAATCTCTGTGTGATAAGACAACAATAATCAATACACAACAAAGGAACAGATTCAAACTTCTTGACTTGTACAAAGCCGTACCATTCTGTGACCATGTGACAAGACCATGGTGAAGCACAAAATGGCTACTATCAAACACACAGTCAAGATATCTAGACATACATATTCCCTGTACATGTACCCTATGTTCTGTAAATCACTGTTTCAATTAAGTAAGTATACAAACTCTACATACCCTGACTACCTGGTTACTGAGATAGAATGAAGATGAATGAAGATTGGTTGAGGTGTGTCTATCCTTTCACTAGAGTGTGTCATATGAAAAATGACAAATAGAATCACAGGGGATCAAATTCTCAGTAATATTCAGCATAGGAAGAGGCATTCCACAATTACAGAAACTTGTAAATCAAGCATTAATATGATGACAGATATTCCTCAAAAGGTCCATATATTGAAACTGTATTGAAGCAACACTGTACAGCAGTTGGCTTTGATTTCTCACAGTGAGGAACAACAATTCACTGAATTCAGAGACTGTGATATTTCACAATGCTTTTGAGAATCTCCTTGTCAAGCACATTATGTAAACACAAGATATTTTACATGTTTGCTATGGTTCTAATAAAATATGTTTGAAACATACCGGTAAAATTGGTGTTAAATGTTTCAGGCTTTTCTTTTGGTTTATAAGAAGGGTAAAACACACCCTTGAATCCTCCTGAAAATAGCCTCTGCTGTGTTTTAACCTACATTAGACTTATACATTGTGTTGTCAACCATTTCTGAGTTATCTTTGATACTTTATGAAACAGTTTAAAAAATTAATACAAACTTAAACTTATCATTTACACGATGCTAAAGAGAACCCCTCTAGAACACATTCACATCAGCTGAGCAGTAGATGCATGTTTATCATGCTTAAGCTGCTATCAGCAATCTAGATAATGGAATCTGAGTCTGGAAGACAAGGCCCCGATTTCTCGAAACAAACTTAAGTCTGAGTTTTGACTCAAATTTGAGAAAACGCAGGGAAAAGCATTTCCCAGAATGATCTGAAATCGATATCAAACCCAAACATAGTAGACAATTTGTGTTTGGTAGATAGATTACTTAAGTTGTTTGGGGCTTTTTGTTTAAAAATGCAGTTGAATTAAAAATTCAGCTGTTTCAAATTGTCAAACTTAGTTTGAAATATGTGTACAAACTTAAGTTTGTTTCGAGAAATCAGGGCCTGATGTTGACAACATGAGCAACATTCTGTGCTGTTGGTAAAGGACATATCAAACTAAGAATGTATAATGTTCTATAACCATATGACCTGTGAAGGTCTGGGTCAGAATTGGTCTTCAGTAACCCATGCTTGTCGTAAGAGGCCACTAATGGGATCGGGTGGTCAGGCTTGTTACCCAATTACATAGATCAATGCACGTGCTGTTGAACACTGGATTGTCTGGTCCAGACTCGATTATTTACAGATCTATAGCCATATAGCTATAATATAGCCGGGTATGGCGTTAAACAACAACAAACCAAACTATAGCCATATGGTCACAGACAGCCTGCTGGCGAACTTTGCTCTAGTTTTGTAGGCTGTGACTTCACACAGAATATTACACATACTTCACCCAACACCTGCAACAGTTAGTATGCTGTGACTGCAAACAGGCCACTGATCAGTCCAAGTGCTACATCCATACCAGCAGCAGTTTTAGGCTGTGACAACAAATGGAACACTGCATGTCATGTGTGTAGACACAAGCAGCAGCTTGTATGCGATGACCACACGCAGAGCACCACATACATTTTACTCAACACCTGCAGTAGTTTGTATGCTGTGGTTTGTGACCTACTACTGCAGGGACCATCTGTACCGTCATGTCCTCAGCATCTACTGTCAGATATGTCAGTATACACTGAGGGACTCACCCTTGCAGTACTGTTTGAGTTCCTCTCTCCATCCACATTCAATCAGTCGAGTCCGCAACAACTCCTTCAGTCTGCATGAACAAAACACCATGTATACAGGTACCATTCTACAAAACACCAGATATTAATGAATCTTAACAGAAACTAGTTAGCAGATTATTCTGTTTAAGATCAGATGTTATGGTAGTGAGATTGGACTTGTGCCTGTACTACTCAACATTCTCAAGATTTAAATCTTAAATTGTACCCCACCTGTCTCTCTCGCCAGTCTCAACCAACTTCTGGTTAATGGTGGCTCTCATTTGAGCATCCTTGATCTTCCTTTCTTGAAGGCTGAAAGAGTCAACACATGTTTAATTATGTATTTTATTTTATCCTTAACCCAATTTATCTTTAATTAAATACATCATCCGGAAAACATTCCCACACAAGTATACATTTGGCTGGATGTCCTGCGACTGCAGCTGTAGTATTCTTGTCTTTTCCAGAACATTTGAATGCTTAATATTGGACTAATGTTACTGGACACTGTGTTAAATCTAACCATGACAATGACAACTACACTATTGATCTCCACAATAAGTATACACCTGAGCAGAATGTAAAGATTATTCTACTGTATGTGTAGAGATGATTTTAACCAGTTCAATTTTATGAATGAAAAACTGGAGAACGTAGGATCCAAAACAAATTTCCCTTGGGACAATAAAGAATTATCTTATCTTATCTATGAATAAGTATGAAAGTGGGCACGTGAAGAGATAAAGTTTCTTTTTAAAAATCATGTGATGTTAGGCAGTTATTCATCCCTGTGGCAACTGATCAGCATGCGATATTGTCACAAGACTTTTGAGCTCAGGACACTCATGAAAAGTTTGTAATAGGCTCTGCTACACTGGCATGTTGGCACAATGCCCACGCCTGGAGACATGGACAATGCACCTCACTAGCACGTTGATAATGTCCTCATAATGTTCTTGTCCTCTTTTATGGCACCATGCCCTCAGTAAAATTAAATCCGTAGCCTAAGTCAGTTTTCCTGTCGTGCACCATGCTTCAGTGTCTACTGGGTGGTCGCAAAACACCACGATCGCAAATTGATTGACACCTATTTCACAGTAAGTCTCAACTTTTGTCCACCTGTTTCAAAAATTCTTTCAAGTGATGATAAAACGGCCGGAATAGTCTACACACACACGGAAATATCCACACATCAACCTAATTAACTACAAATATATTTACTCCTCGTAATATATCTTAAATTAGTCCTTAATTTGAAAATCTGTTCGTATTTCACACAGAACTGATACTTACTCCGCCATCTTGGAATTTCAGACTCCTTGAAAGAAGAGCTCCACGGGGAGTAATCATTATATACAGACAGTCGACCATCCCTCGCGCACTGGCATGCGAGTGTCATTTTTGAAGCAAGTTCTAATCAAAACATTAGAGAAACACTTCTTTCACTTGCTGACGACAAGTTTATAAGAAAAACATAACAATAACATAATGAAATTTAGACAATGTCCTTTGCTCTATATATTAACGACGGATGAAAGAGACGGATCCATTATTTTAACGGGTGGAGTTGGGTGGTTGTCGACATTACCATAAAACGTCAAATCGGGGTCCATGTAATATATTCAAAGGAATCCAGTCGGTTTTTCCTGATAGAAGACACCGATAACCATGTTATTTATTTTAGCATATCTGGGTCTCCTGTCTTATTTAACTTCCCGATCTCTGACCTATATTTGTTGATGAAAGAATGATTTGTTATTTCTCTCATCGAATACAGAAATGAAAGGCAGTCTGGAATATAATCGATCCAGGACCAGACAACCCAGTGATTGATATCACGAGCATCGATATTCTCAATGGGGATAAGATGACATTCAACAACCAAGTCAGCGATGCTTAACACCTTGCGACAAGCGTGGGTTGATGAAGATCAATGCATTCTCACCTGGATCTTCACGGCTCATTGCTTAGCATAGCATGAATGAACAGAACAGGCTTCGCGACATTCCTTGAATTCGTTCCCATTGATGCAACTTACAACTTATCTCAACCACGCCTAACTTCTTTAGGTGGCCTTTAGAAGCTGGTATGATGCAGAGGAACAATCTTTATAGATCTAGTTTTTATTTCCCAAAACACACCCTTCGCATATATACAATTCTTTATTATCAAGAAATAGCTCATTTAAAATAGAAAAAATCTCCCAGGGATAAAAATATACGAAATGACTTATCCCCGATGTGGTGTTCATCTGTGCCTTAAATTTGATGTCAATGCCCGGGGTAAAACGGAAAGGTGTGTCCACTTTTAATGAATATGGCCCGAGGACAAGGTTTATACCGACCAGCTGGTGTCCCTTCCTGGTCCAGTCCGTCGTGCAGAGAATCCTTTTGGAATGTATTCTCATTTAGTTATGAAGTAAACTTGCTGCTGTCTATTAAAACAGTTTAGCTGTGTGAACAGCGAATCCAATCACCGTTGTTGTGATAAATCTGACATCGTCACTTTATTTTACGAACGAAATGGTAAATGTTTCAATATGGTTCACTGATTTTCTGCTGATAGGCAGCTTTTGTTACAAATCAGGTCGTCAACCTTGTATTGTGCATAAAAATATAACTTTTAGAATTACGTATGCTAGTTTTAAATTTTATATCAGCCATATTCAAGCTGAGTTGATTTACTGTCCATTGTTGACAGAATTTATAATGTAACTTAATTTATTATCAACGTCTGACTAATTTTAGTCACGATATGTGGCTGAAATATTGCCATAGGTGATTTTAAATTTTAACTCACTTACTCACTCAACCTCTCGTACACAGTTGTTAACAATTAGATGGACGAAGAATTGACCAACACTGTCGTATACCCGCTGTTTGGATCTATCTATCTATCCGAGAACACCCGGGTTAGAATTTATCTTCAGCAACCCGTGCTTGTCGTAAAGGGCGACTAACGGGATCGGGTGGTCAGGCTCGTTGATACATGTCATCGTATCCCAGTTGCGTAGATCGATGTTCATGCTGTCAATCACTGGATTGTCTGGTCCACACTCGATTATTTCCAGACCGCCGCCATATAGCAGGAATCTATCTATCTATTGCTTCCAATAGAGGTAGTAATTAAACAGGCTTAACATGTTTCTTATCTGTTTTATGTGTTTCCCCCAAATACGGTCGGAACATTGTTGCTAAATATTTGTATGATTTTAAGTGTGAGACAAAATGATCAGTAAAATGAAAAGATCATAACAGATCTGGGTTTCATTTTATATAGACACTTTTATTTAAATACAATCGTTAAATGAGAAAGAATAACGATTTGAGGTTAGTCTGAATCACTTGGAATCTACATAATGATCACTCCCTTGTGTTTACACATAGTAACGTGACGTCACAAAACATGCTCTATGGCGGTAGTGGTCGGCCGCACACGTGGATGTAACGATCACACTGCGATGACAGCGCCTTTAGCGTGAAAGGAGAGAAGCCAAGAATGGCGTATTACGCGCTTAAAGACACAGGTAAGACGGTGCACTAGTTCTGTTTGGTTGTCAATTTTCCTAAACGCAGAATTTTGTAGATTAGTATCGGGTATGTCATTAATGCTAGACGTAGTATTGCCACTATTGGTTGGCCAAATATTAATTTTGCGTTTTTTGAATGTAAAATATGAACCATATACCAAATGCATGTATGTTGACTGCTGATGCAGGTAATGAGTTTGTAGAACCTTGACGATAGTGGAGGGTGCTATTCATTTTTACAAGGTACCGTTTCTGAAGAAATGCCAGGAATTACAAATGATCAAAAGGTAGGATAACCTGTCTGTCTAAAGATCCAAACATGGAATATTAATTGTGAATGGTTATGAAAGAAAATATGAAATGTGTAATTAAGAAATCTAAGAAAGTGAATAGTTAGTTTAATATATATCTGTGAACAAACCTGGTGGAAATTTTGCTAAACAATGCCAAAAATTAATTACAGATTTTAGTAATAATTACAATGAAATAAGAGATTTCATAAATTGAGAATTTTAAGTTTATTATAAAAAATTCAAAGAGCCAATTCAGAAACAATAAGGACCCCAAGAGTTTATAAGCTGTAATTTGGCATTGTCACACTTTATAGGCCTATACAAATTTCCATATTATGTATTGTTAAATGTTATACTGAAGATGAAATACTGATCCTTGGTCTCATTATATGAATAAATGTCAAACTAGGATAAATACAGTACATTACAATTGCTTTTGTATAACAGGCAACAATAACAGAACAAGCTTATTTTGGTTCACATGAGAGTGCATTTAATCCAGTTCCCTTGTCAGGTAGATGTAGGTAGGACTGTATGTGTGACTTACAGTGGCGGACATATTCTGGTGGTCGTGGAGGTCAGTATCAGCCCACAGCCAGTCATGTGAGAGGCTCAGTATTGTTTGTCCCAGTCTTAGCTTAATGCACCGGGTAAACACTGTCGTTGACAGTGTGTGTACTTATCAGGGTTTGGCACGTGTAGAATGTCTTCGGATCTCAGCTGATAATTGATTTGTTTGGAGCTCACTTGATAGGCCACTGGAAGCCTTTCAGGTTTTGGCTTCAGCTGAGATGGAAGACAAACAAGTTTCAGGACTAACCACTCAACATTTCCTTCTACTTTCAGGTTGGTTGGGTAGCTTAGTGGTTGAAGGGTTCACTTATCACACTGAACATGCTGAAGGCTAGGTTTGATTCCCTACTTTGGTACAAACCATGAGCCTATTTCTGTTGTACCGTGCCGTGAGATGTAAGAGATATATCCACAAGGATAATTGGTTGATATCCATTCAGTTGTTGACATAGGCCCTTACGACCACAACTGTACGGATATCGACTGATGCACCGAGGAAAGGGTGGATATATCTCTCTTATTCCCCAGAGGGTGGTGGGGTAGCCTAGTGGTTAAAGCGTTTGCTCATCATGCCAAAGACCCGGGTTTGATTCCCCAGCAGGTGTGGAAATAACCCATTGCCCAACGCCCGAGTCCAGTGTTTTTTTCTGTTGGGCAAGCAAATTTATATATCACACTGTACCGGAGTCCAGTTGACTTTCCAATATTAATTATGTTGTTTATTTAAAATTCAACAAGAAAACGGACGGTATAGTGGAAAAATTATCAGGGCAAGTGATTTTACATGTGCCACTGTACTGGAGTACACTAGCAATTTTAAAGTTTTTTTCACCCCTGCCCAGATAAATAAAATGTGTGAAGCCCATTTCTGGTGTCCCCTGCCATGATATTGCTGGAATTTTGCTTAAGGCAGCGTAAAACTATACTCATTCACTAACTGTTATATCCCACTCTGGTCCATTTGACATTTAAAAAAACTGTTTTGTTTTGTATCCAAATTAGACATTTTGGGTTTAGTTTAGTCTCTTCTTAATTCACTTTTACCAATGTTTTGATAGACCCATACTAAGTACGTTGACTCTGGACATGCACATTGCACCCTTCTTACTCACTTTCTGGGTAGCTGTCCACATAAGTTGAAGCATGTATTTCACATTTGTCAATAATTCTGTTGTGATGTGAAATACAATCAATGTTTGACCAGTGCATGTTAAACTTTCTTCACTAAATCACAAAGTTTCCGTTCAAACAAGAAAATCACCTTCTATGATAATCATAAGCCAGTATGATAATATCAGATAATAGTATCATAATGCACAGTATTTTATTTGCTGTCATGCTGGGACCTGAACTTCAATGCCTGAAACCGCCAAAGTTAATTATCAAGAGTCTCCTAGACTCTCAAATATATATAGACCTTGATAAACCCATGGAGTAGAGTGTATGTTTAATATTCAGTTGGTGAGCTGGTGATATAGTTGTCAGCTCAAGAGGACCTTGGTTTTTGAGTGTTCAGAGTACATATGAATATGGGTATAGCTGCTAGTTCTACTTATCTTATGGCAAACTGGGTTCAGCGTGAAGAGCAAGTTGGTATACATTTCAGGTATTTCAGGTATTTGATAAGTCTTCCATCGTGTGTAACAGGTGAATCAATTACCAGAACCAAAAAATGTAAACAAGTCTGTTTTCATTGATGTTTAAAGCTGCAGCTATATCATCACGGGCTGAAAATATACAAGTGCAGGCCATACTGACCAGGGCCCCGTTTCACAAAGCTCTCATAAGCCTAAGATCTCGTAACTTTTCTCGTAGCATTCATACTTCCTATACTGTGACATTGACTACAATAGTCGTAGCTTTGTGAAACGGGGCCCAGTAGTGTAAAGTTACAATCCACACCATTTTGGGGGCAATTACACAAAATAACACTTTATACCACATGATCCTTATTTTGCTCGGAGGGGTGGTGAGGTAGCTCATCACATCAAAGATCCGGGTTTGATTCCCCACATGGCTACAATGTGTGATGCCCATTTCTGGTGTCCCCTGCCGTGAAAATTGCTGGAATATTGCTAAAAGTGCCTTAAAACTAAACTCACTCACTCCTCTTAGCAGCTATCATGGATTGTTTGTTTGTTGTTTAACGCCGCACTCAGCGATATACAATATTATTTTTCAGTGATTTCTTTTACACTAGAGTCTGCAATATTTCTATTCAAACCAGTGGTTGATGGACAGACATTTGTTTGTTGTTTAACACAGTACTCAGCAATATTTAACTATATGGCAGTGGTTTGTAAATAATTGAATCTGGACCTGACAATCCAGTGATCAACAGCATGAGCATCTATCTACACAACTGGGATACGATGACGTGCCAACCAAGTCAGTGAGCCTGACCACCCGATACTGCTAGTTGCCTTTTATGACAAGTATAGGTTGCTGAAGATCAATTCTAACCCAGATTTTCACAAGTCAGCTGTCATGGAAGCAGGGGTTCTACCCTGGAATCCAAGTTTGATGCTGCAGTTTTCAGCTTTATCACAGCTGAATGTAAACAATAGCAAGTGAGTAAGTTTACATTTTGCAATATTAGCAATATTCCAGCAATATTACAGCAAGGACACCAGAAATAGGATTCACATATTGTACCCATTTGGGGAATCGAACCTGGATTTTAGGCATGATGAGCGAACGCTTTAACCACTAGGCTACCCCATTGCCCCAGTAAATAGTCAGGATAAGACATTTCAGTTGTATGGGTCATTAGACTAACTGGGGGCATTTCTGGTTTCTCTTTATATTCTCTCTCATTGAATGATGATTTAACAGCAGGGTATGATGTCGTGTGTTTTTTCACTACCTGCAACCAAGTAAGTTGAACATTCGCACCATCAAAATCTGGCCACACCATGTTATCAACAATCTGCTCGACAAAACAACTTGTCTACCATTTCCAGTGATATATTGCAGGGTGACCCCTGGCCTTCCATGAAATGTCACAAGATTATATACACAGTGTGTGGTCTATGTACCTGATTAATGAGCATGAAAACAGACTTTTGTACATTTTTTGCTTCTGCTAATTGATTCACCTGTTACACAGGATAGAAGACTTATTGTAAACCAAAAGTCACTGTGTTCTTTAATCTGATTGGTTGAAAAACGTGATCAAATGGTATTTGATTCCCGGAAATTCTCTGCGTATTAATACATACAAACATCGCTCACACAATTGTATTGTTACTTTGTCAGCTGTGATGACGTCATTAAAATCATATTGTGACGTAAAGTCCGAATGACGTCACAAATCAGCAGTTCCAGATGCTACCATGGGAGACAGCCAAAATGGCCGACTGATGACATTTCACTGCTCCACCTGTACTCAATGTCAATGAGTGCAGACACAAAAAACGTGTGTGGACCTTTTGGTTTACTTTTGTGTTTACAGTGTCGATAAACATCATGTGTTGGCGAATTTCCGGGTTGTTATTGAGTATTTGAAGCACGGGAATATTTCATTTGAAACCTCCGGCTGACGCCGTCGGTTCCAAATACATTCCTGTGCTTCAAATACTCAATAACACCCGGAAATTCGCAACACATGATGTTTATCTCCTAATTAAATACCTGAAATTTATACCATTCAACTGCTTGTAGTGAAAAATGTTACCTGCACTGGGTGCAGCCTGACAATAACAGTTACCTGCACTAGTAATGGTGCAGAATGGATATTGCGATATTGATCCCTGATAGGTATTGACAGGTAGAGAGTTTTATAGAGTATATTTCTCCTTCTTTAGCCTTTTCTTTCCTGTTGCCCGATTTTGCACTTGTCAGATGAATGGACGGCTCATTAATCCGTGGACATCACATCTTTCAAAATTGTAGCACCAAGGGACAAGCAATATACAAGTACTCAGTGACTTATGGAGGCATGAGACCCTTCAGATCAAAGCTTAGTAAAATCTATATCTTCTTAACCCTTTGGGTTTTCCAAGGGGAAATAGGTACTGGATAACCTATGCTTGTTAGGCTACTAAATGATGGTCAGACTTCGTGACTGACTTAATATCGTCTCACTGTACCCTGACTTTGGATGTGCCTCATTTTATCAGTCAGTGTTTT